TAGTATTAGGATCAGAGTGTTTAAATAGGTAATCTCCTAGCAGATTACAGGTATGGCAGCTAGTGTAGAACCTTCAGCAGACTACTTAAATTAGGTAACCAAAAGTTACACATATGGCTAGTCTGCACACTCACCTTGTACAAGTTATATGTAATGCATTAACTAAAATACAACTAAAGGCAGTAGCTCCGTAATATCGGCCTTAATAGTAAAAAAAAAAAAAAAAAAAAAAGAAGTGAATATTAACATTTAAAATAAATCATTCATCAGTATTATATATCAAATTTTAAATATTCATATCAAGAAGAAATATACTTTAAATAAAAAAATCGATTTATCAAGTGTAAATTAAATTCTTTAACAATATTGCTTTAACAGCTAGTATTTTTGTTACTAAAGAAAAGTTAATATAGATATCACTTAAGTAAAAAAAAAATAATTAATTTAAATATTGTCTAAATATAGCTGCAAAGAATAATTTTACTTTTATAAATAAAACTTTAAAATTAACCCGATAACTGGTTTTAAACTTTAAATTTTATATAAAGTAATTAACAATATATAAAATTTTAAAAGATCTACATAAATATTATAACTAGAAATATTGATATGTAAAATTAATTTTTTACGATTCTAATTTATTTTATTAGCATCTTTAATTATTAAATTTTTTTATCACTTCATTATGTTTTAAAATAGTTTAAGTTTAAATATACTAAAATAGATTAGTTAAGTATTATACATAGATATGTTATGAAAATTTTTGTATAAAAATTTTCTTGTATTTTTTATATTGTATTTACATTTTTTACTATATTTGTTAATGCTATTATATAATCTGTACATGGTTTAGAACCACAGATATTGGTTTGAGATCATAAATCTTGGTTTAAAACTATAGATTTTGGTTTAAAACCACAAATCTTGGTTCGAGACCACAGATTTTTGATAGCTAAACTAATAAAAAAACTGAAGAATTCTACTTGAGTCATAATGAAATAATAAATAAAGTATCTTATAAATCATATATCAACTATATATATCCTTTAATAATCTGTTATTATTAAATCTGAATCCTTTATAAATATTTATCTTATATAATCTATGCTTGTAACCTGAGTGAATTTAATCTTATATTAGCCAATTAATTCTTTTTCATAATGACAATAGCTAATACAAAAATTTGGCTAATATAAAACTGATAAAAATTAACTGAATTAGTTCTAAGTTTAAGTATATCAGGTATATTAAAAATTAAATAAATAAAACATTGTATACCAATAATAAAACAAAAATATTATTAGTAGTAGTTTTAGTCAAAGAAGGAAATTTAACTTACCAATATTGTGTAAAAAATAAAAATAAGAAAATATTTATTTTTACATATATTAATGTAGATAAAACTATATTGATCAGATTCTAGTTAATAATCTATTGTATATTACTTTTAAAGAATATAATAACTTAGTATTAGTGTGTAAATTTAAAATAAAATTAAGAATATAATAAAATGCATTGTAATAATTGTTTAAAACAAAATCTTTAGATTATATAAAAAAATTTTATATATAAAAGTTATAATTTTAAATAAAAACAAACTCAAATATAAAATTTAAAAGTAGTTTTTTAATATATTTATCAAACTATACAAACAAGTCAAATTTCTGAATATAATATCAAAGATTATATAAATGATCATGAAGCAAGTCTAAAAGGCTTAATTGACCATTTTGATCAATTTGTAGAATGCCTTCAAGATCATACTATAAGTACAAATTATCTTTCTACTGGTGCTGTTTTGATCAAACATAATAAAAACATTTATCATAATAAATCAAAAGAGGAGACTGAATATATTATTCTATTAAATACAAATTATCACAAATGAGTGCAACAATTTGGTAAAATAACTGGTATACCTTATGTTAAGTGTAATATAGAAGAAAATACTAGAAATATTATTTTGCGTATTATCTACAAATGCTATCGTTCAGGAACTTACCAAACTATAGCAGGCCAAAGTTATTCTGATAAAAAGCCAAGGTTTAGCCAAAAAGAAAGCAAAAAATGTGATTGCAAATCACAAATCATTATTACTATAAAGCATACATTTAATGAACTACAAATGTTTTAAAATATACTTCATATACTAATCATGTTCCAGGCACTGATAGTGATATTGGCACCTTGAGACTTTCAAAAGAAATCAGTAATTGGATCGCTAAACATATTTGGAATGGATTAAATATTAAAGGAATTGTTCAGCTCTTTAAAAAACATACACATGATTTAGAAGATATATGGAAAAAAAGAAATCAAAATAATGCAATTCAAATTCGAGATAACTTTGTTACATATGATGATATATACAATATATGGAAAGAGATAATATTAGAATCTCAAATGAAATACAAATCTGAAGAACAGAGTATAGAATTATGGAGAATTGAACTAGAGCAAAAAAATGATCTCACTTGTGCAATTCCACTATCAAAAGAAAACAATGAATATAGTATAGATAAGCTTTTTGGTTTTATAGTCTCAACTGGAAAAAAAATTATTTGTAAAGCTCCAATTATTCTTCTTGATGCTACTTATGGAACTAATAAGTATAAAGATTTGTTAT